AAATACTAAAGAGTAAATTTATTCAATAAAATAGCCATTGGCTTCAACAACAGCCTCTAAATGACTTTAGAATCTCTTGCAATTATTCTGGACAGTCTCCTTGTTTAAGTTGGTGAATGCTGCCATAATCCTTGCCTTCTGTTCATCTTCGTTGTTACAAGGAGTTTTGTTGGTCTCTCGCTCAACTGCACCCCACACATAATAATCAAGGGGGTTGCAATCTGGAATTAAGTGGAAAGATGTAAGGGGTGATGTGGTCACAGAAATTGTCTGACAGCCATGACTGAGTTCTCCTGCTTGTGTAGCATGTTGCAGTCCTGTTGCCAGACATAGGGTCTTCCAGCAGCCACCCTCATGGTCCAGGGCAGGACTGCCTCCCCAAGGCAGTTGATGGAGGCCTCTGTGTTGAGTCTGAGGCCCTCACCAACAAATTCAGGAGTTCTTTTCTTATCAGATTGATCAGAGTGAGTGTTCTGAGCTGCCATAGCTTCGTAATCACCATTAGACTCATCCAACTCTTTCCAAATCCTCTGCACAGTCCACAGATTGGCACCCAAACACTCTGAAATGTTCATATTAGAACTTTTGGCATGAATACCAAGCAGAACAGCATGCCATTTCCAAATTTCTGTTGGAGTTAATTGCATCGTGGTGCTCTTTTTTTTCACAGATGGTACCCAACTGCCCCTACTATACTGTGCAGTCAACAAAATCAAAAACAAACAGCATGCACATGCAAAATTAAAAATATAAAGTAGCGTCAATTTACCCTTCACAGCCCCCCCCACACACACACACAATGTGTATTTGGCAGCAAACCCGCTTTTATAATAGTTTTGTTAAAGACGACTGACAAGGTAATGTGATTAATTTTTTTATTTCCCTTTTCTTGGGTATGAACAAGTGTTTTCTTTTCTGGAAACAAAGTGTATAAAAACTGTCCAAAAGTTCTGCATATCCGAGCACTTTCAGCTATTCTTTTAGCCATTATCATTGTTATAAAATAAAATAAGACATATCTTGGCTGATTTGCAGGCAAATAAACTAACATACTCAAGAGCGAGAGCCGGATGTGAACGGGACAAGGCCCCGTCACAAAATGACCATTATCATAGGCCCGACGCACGAGTTCCGGTCGAAAAATAAAATAACATTTTAAAGTGTTTCTATTTTTCGACCAATAAAAATGCTTCCCTTCTAAATATACTCGCGTCATTTTTCGAGCCTGTTAAACCATAAAAAACGCCATAAAAGGGGTCACACGAGGAAATACTAGTAGTCAACAGGAGGCCAAGGAAGAGATCTGTCATGGTCAGTCTGGGCAATCAGCAGCAGTCAGCGGGAGGAGCACCATGCCAACCAGTGAGAACTACTATGAGAGATCAACCCAGATAGGTAGCCGGCTTATGAACTATACCACAAGGTAGCTGTCCCAAAACCACACATTCCTATTGAAATAAATCACATAAATCTATTTCTGCTGTTGTCGTATTTCTTTCTTGCAACCATACGCTTGTCTATAACATCATGAAAGATTTTTATTTTTTATTTTTTACTGAATGTGTGGGTTTTTATATGAATGTCTTATTTTCCCAAAATATTCAGCACATTGTGGCCACATTCATAGTTTTATATTATTGAGTGTTGGCTTTTTCTTTTTATTATTAACGTGTCCATTATTTTTAGCCTTTTTTTTTTTTTTTACATTTGGAGGAGGTTATTATAGTTGTACTTTCTACGAGTATGTTTCAGATGGTGTTTGGTAGGTTTCCATGCATATTTAAATGGGTCCTAATTGAGCTATGGTTAGAGAGGTATAATGGGAATCTTCTTGATAAGCATATGTAAAAATCTATATATTCAATTAAAAATAAAAATCATCCTTGATAATAGCGAACAGAATAGCCCAAAGTACTCAGATATATAAAAAATTTGGACAATTTTTACACACTGTCAAGAAAAGAAAACACTTGAACAAACACAAGAAAAATTTAATAAAAAGCTTAATCACAGTGCCTTGCCAGTCATCTTTAATGAAACCTGTATAATAAAGGGATTGCTGCTCAAATACACAATTCTTATATGTAGATTTAGCTGGTCGATGAAAGAAATTCAAGACAGAAAAAACAACAATAATAATAAAATAATATTTATTGTATATTATTAGGATTCTAGACCAAATAGAAACATCTTTTCTCATCATGCTTCTGTTTGGTCTAAAGGCCTACTAATATACAATAAATGTTATTATTTTTATTATCATTATTATGTATAATTCAAATGACAAGATTCATCTTTAATTTTTTTCAAGACACTCAAAAGTAATCAAATAAAAACACAACATAACTTTGGACAGTTTATATATATAAATATATATATATATATATATATATATATATATATATATATATATAATATATATTTATTGTTGGAAATTATTTTTGTTCAGCCAACAAACAACAAACACAAGTCATGTTTATATGGATTACTCGATAGTAGGTAACCCATGCAACATTTTGGGGCTTTTCCTCAGGTGGTCCCCACACAGTCAAATGGCTCCACTCCTTGGGTAATATGTTATAGGATTAAGAAAAGGCAGTAAAGATGTAAAGAAAAAGAAATTAATTTTCAAAATATGGCAGAAAGAAATGGGAAAGTTTGCAAGTTGAGAGGAAAATGTCAAGACAATAATTCCATGTGCAGAAAGGTCAGAGAGTGACTTTTTGACAAGATGATAAGCAGAATATCCTCATTGCAAATCTTCACACGCAACAAGATAAAGAATTTTAGCTTCTGTTAAGCATCAGCAATAATTGTAATTGGGCCCTGTCAAGGCAGACAACTGGATCATTTTTTTTTTTCACTTTTTAGTTATGGCAACTTTTCCCAAAGGCTCATTGACTTATTTTCACCATCTGCCATTGTCACAATGACTGATTTTTATATTGAATTTTTCTGATTATTCATTGAAAATTGATTGTTTAGAAAGTAATGCTTGATTTTTGCAGAAGGAATAAAAATTCTAAAAAATACCAGTGACATTTTTTTGACAAAATATTTATATTGAAATATCTCAGTTGTACTTTACTGATCATGCTAAACAGGGGCCTTGTATAAAACTTGTACTCTTATATCTAAATTGATACTGAATCTTGTATCACACTAAATATACTAATCTGTATTTCATCCTTAATATATGCAGTAGTTTTACTTTCTATAAACTTTGAGACATGTGATAAGTAAAGAAAGTGGTTGGAGTACAATATTGGAAGTTGTAACCTTACTATAAAAATGTTTTGTGCTCGACTTTTTTCAGTACTAATAACATTGATTATTTCTACAAAGATTTAACTTTTGTTATATTTAATTGAATTTTTATTCCTTCTGCAAAAATCAAGCATTACTTTCTAAACAATCAATTTTCAATGAATAATCAGAAAAATTCAATATAAAAATCATTCAGATGTAAGACAATGCTCTTTGAACAAGAAATAAAAGAATTGTTTTGGTTAGCTTGTGGAGAAGTGCCAGAGGTTCTTAGTAATAATTCTCAGAAACTTCAGAATAAACTAACAGAATCAAAGGTATAAACAAATAATATGTGTTTCTTTATTTGACTTTGATTGGATTGAGTTCACAATATGTCCAACTACTGAATTAGTTGCTAGTTATTAAATCAAATTGTCATTTGTTGCACTTGAATGGCTAAATTATTTTTCTACTTATATTTTGTAAATATCTAAAGAATTAATGATTATATTTTTAATCTGATATTTTTATTTACTTCAAATGTTATTTCAGTGGATACTTGTATTTAAAATAGATGCCCCATTTTTATTTTAAACAGTGTGTATTATGTCTATTTGCCTGCACATTCGAAAAATTTAATGAGTTTTTATTCCTTCTACAACAGAACTAAAAGAGAACTAAATTCATGCCTTTTCCAAATGTGAAGTAAACATAATCTCAATCAAGAATTTGAACTTGCTTTACCAATTGTTTTTCATGTTGCCTCACTGCATCAATGACTGCATTACCCCCAACCAAGCAATATGAAACCTCAAAATATTGGAAACTGATCTCAACACTATTTTTTTCTTTACTAAGCATAATGCTGAATGACAAGATTTTTTAAGCCACCAAAAGTTTCATCTACATTTGCTATGCTCCAATTACTGTAGCTATCAAATGTACAAGGACATATTTTTTCAAACTTCTGATATTGTATTTTAGGATAAATGACATGATCTGTCTGTCATTGATCCTTTTGGGTATATGCTGGTCTAAAATTTATTTTTTCTTCATCTATGAAAGTTATATTATTTATATAAATCTAATTTCCCCATAGAATGCGACCCCCTCCAGAAGTGAAAAGCAAGCCCACATTCCTTAGTGAAATATTATAGCTTATGATATCCTTTTACAGAGTTACTTTTCTATGGGGAAAGCATTTTATATGGAAACTATGCATTAGCACTTTAACCAAGGGAACCAAAAAAACAAAATGGATGATTTTTATACAAGCTTATACCCCAAAGACTGAAAATGCGGGCATATTGTATTCTTCTCTCAAAATACATGGGATATCAACCCTCAATATGATATGAATGAATACAAACCAAAAGAATTTCAAGGTCCATTTACAATTCAAAATTTAGATAATTCTGCTGAATATTCATTTCAGTTTGGTAAAATTTAATTTCTTATAATTTATCTCTTGATTTATTGATTCATTTTCTACGACTTCAACCAATTGCAAGTTATTTAAAGCCAGAAAATATTTTAAGATTGTAAGATTTTTTTTGTAGAGGAATAAAAATGGTTTAGTGCTAAAAATCTTACTAATTAACCCATAGATGGAGGGAGAAGAGGTGGATACATACCTTTTCCAAAGATATTTGCACATAAGTGAATATAATGAAACCAACAGGAATTAGAAGACAGTTCTTCAGTTAACAATTTTGAGTCCTTATCCATTACCCCACCTGCACATCCAAGTTTACGGAACCTGGTATTCCCAAGAGGTCACCCATCTAGGTACTGACCAGGCTCAACATTTCTTAACTTTGGTGATCTTACAGGAAATGGTGTTTCAACCTGATGTGGCCGTAAGCCTACGTTATATCTCGAGTAAAACTCGATTTGTGGAGAAAAAGATAATGATTTTCAAGGTTTTCATACCATTTACCATGCCTGTGAAATCTCTTATTTTAAACATAAGAGAAAAAATTTATTTCAAACTTAGGTTACTTATTCTTCTACCCTTGTTGTTTAATCAGGAATAAAATTTAATGAACAGCATGTGATGACTTGGCTCAGTCATAAAGCAAAAAATAAAATTAATGAATCAGAGGAGCTAAAAGTGATTAAATTCTTTATACAAAATCAATAACGATTCAAAATTCAAATAAGTAATTTTCAAACAGTCAATTATGTACTTGTAAAATCTGGGGCAACAAAATGGTACATAACTATTCTAAAAATCTTTCTTTTAATAAAATAGCAGGTAACAGCATCTTGCTAAAAAAAAAAAAACAAAAAAAAAACATACGCATTAAGGTAATTATGGAAGAACAGTTTACCCAAGTGCTTACTCAACTTTTCTTAAATGTGGCATGCCAGTTACAAGACATTTTTCAAAATTTCTGGTTAAGTACATCATAAAGAAGATCAATGTAAAATAAATGTCAACAGCCTAATCAAGAATTTGAATTCTTGTTTGCCAATATGGCTTCTCTTTAACTCCACAAAATCATTACAATAAAAAAAATATCAAGTTGGTTCATTTGATTTGAATAAATTTTACACCAAATTGCAAGTACATATTATTTTATTTGTGAGAAACATACAGTTGTGCATTATTTACAAACTGAATATTATCCCCAGATTCGTAGTTGTTATGTTTTGATCATTGAGCCTCTAGCTTGTTGGTACCAGGTAAACTTCAAAGAATTTCAAAATGAACCCTTTATTTAATCAACAATGGTAGATTGTTCTTGTTCTGCTGTTCATGTCCAAGGTTATCTAATTTACTTCATATTTAGAATGGCTCAATTATTGCTCCCTCATTTCCACCAAGTCCAAACTGGCCAAGCGATTGAACTCACAATTACTATGTCATCAAATTCACAAACCAACACTTTAATCCATGAAGCTATTGTCTCATGGACTCAGTGGAAATGTGGTGAACTATAAATGAACAGTACTAAATAAGAATTAGACAAGCTATCCCTGGACATTGATAGTGGAACAAAAACAGTTTCTTTCCCATAGATTAAATAAAGGATTCATGTTGAAATTCCCAGAAGGTTGCCCAAATTAACAAGTACTTGATGAAGGGCATAATTGTTGAAATATTGTGATAACAACAACAAAGATGGTGACAAGAGTCCGTAAGTAAATAATGTAAAAAAGTGAGAGCTTCTCATCCCAGAAATCCAAACAGAAATTGAGTTGTATAATTGAGAATTTCAGCATGAAGCATTCAAACAGATTTGTGAAATTAATGTTGTGGCCTGGCTGTGTTGGCTTAATTTGGAAAAAAATAGTAAAAAAAAAAAATAATCTATTTACATCTAGACACTAACAGTCATTTGTCATGGATGCCACCATTTTGGTTTTGATTGCATACTCTGTAGTAAAAACTATTTTGATTGCATACTCTGTAGTAAAGACACAGGTTTGAAAATAGCACTAAGTGCTAGATAGTTTATAACACAAACGTTCGGGGCCAACATTTAATGGAGTCTTGAAAAAGTATATATACACGTACAGCAGCCAATATAAGTTTCATAAAGATATTTATGTATGTTTTGAAAATGCATATATATATATATATATATATATATATATATATATATATTGAGAGCAGTCACTGTAAATTTCATAAATATATACAGTATAGGTACATCTTGGAAATATGTTTTCACTCTTTTGAAAATAGCACCAGTATGAGTCAGTTTATAATACAAATGCCAGGGACTGACATTTTTACAGTGTTTTAGAAATATTTCCAAGACACTGTAAATATATATATATAGCTGGCTACTCATATTTGAGGATACCTGTCTACCAAGGCAGCTAGCCAATCTCTATTGCAGATGCTTGCTCAGGCACATTTGTGTTTATTCAACACTCACAGAGCCCACCTATGGTTTATACTGCAACTATGCAGAGCAAACCATAGTTACAGTTTCTGGGAAAAAGCATGTTATCTACCATGATCAACAATTTGAACAAGGTCAGCACGCTCGCGTCCTCGGCCACAATGACTTTTAACTTTGTGCTAGCACAGCTATCAATGACACCCAAGGTGTCTGTCTACCCAATTTCACTCACAATGCTTGGGTCAAACCGTGGTATTGTTTTCAGGCATTTTCCAAATGTGATGCATGCTGGGATCGACCCCTCCAGTCTGATAACATCAGGAAGCCTCCTTCCTGACAAATCGACCATGGTGAGATTCCCTATTGCAGACACCTGCTTAGGTATATTTATGTTTGATCAACACTAACACATCCCAGCTCTGGTTTATACTGCAACTATGCTAAGTGCACTTTAGTTACAGTTTCTAGGAGAGGATTCATAATCTGTCATAATCAGCAGTTTGAACAATACCGGTACACTCAACCCTTTGGTGACAATCACTTTGTGCTACCACAGCCATCGGTAGCTACCAAACAGTTCCATTTACAAACTTTTACTGATAAAGCTTGGATCAATCCGTAGTACGGTTTTCGGAGACTTTCAAACATGCTTCACACTGGAGTCATCACCCCAAACTGATAGCATCTAGAAGTCATCTTTCTAACAAATTGACCATGGTGAGATTCAAACCTGGATCCTGGATTTCATGGTTGGAAAGCAAATATTTTAACATTTACATTATATATATATATATATATATATATATATATATGAAAAGTGGACTTTGAAGTCAATACCCAGCAGTGATAGCCTGTATCATAAACATAATAACAACCAACAACAAAATAATTAATAATAAATAAAAAAAGTTAATAAACAACACAAAACTTCATAATAACAACAGCCACAAAACTTTTCACCCAATAGCCCCTAGAAAAATTCAAAACATAACGGTTACCACCCACAAAAATAACTGTTAAAGTAATACTATAGACTACCCACAATGCATCACTAACCTGTATATATAAATAGTCGAGCAAAAACATAATACATATGGCCTGACAATTGCATATAAGTATGAAACAAACTGTTGCTGCTGGGTGTTGACTTCAATGTCCACTTTTATATTTACATACACTCTATCCCTGATATACTTTAACCCATAAATATAGCATACATTAAAACTATATTTTAGTGTGTGTGTGTGTGTGTGTGTGTGTGTACAGTAGGCAATGTAAGTTTTGCAAAGATGTTTAAGCATATCCCCATACTAATATGGGGAAATGACAGCAGGGAAGATTGCATAATAGCAGCCAATCTTCCAATTGACTGAGAATGTCCACTTTGAAAATCTGGTTTTACCTACATGAGTTTCAACACACCTCTCACTAGAGATCTAATTCTCTGTAGAAGTAATGGACAGTTCTGTCAACTCGCTGACTATTGCTCTATTGAAAGTAAGTCAAAATGAAAAAAAATTAACTTAGTCTGGCACAGGGCAACATTTGCTGAGTATCCAACAACAATTAAATTAACTTCAGTAGCAAATTGATCAACAAGAGTCAGCAATTCCTAACACATGGTCTTTCATTCATATCACACAACTCATTCATCATAGCCATTTTAACAGTAACACTCTACCTTTAGTGGTTCTTGAGCTTTGTATTTGGTGAACTTGAGTTTAAGAAAAAAAATAGTTAAAGCATTTCAAACCATGGACAATGAGTGAGGCTATGCAGAAATGATTTGCAAAGTAATGTTGCCTTTTCAGAAAAAGAATAAAAAAAAAATCTATTCAAATACAGAAATGCATTCAATTTATTTATCAAGACGAAAACCTTCATTAATTGTTATTAATAATTACAAAACACCAATGTGAAACTAATCTTTTTATCCTTTATTGAAAGAATCTGAGATCCTGGACAAAAAAAAAAGAAAAAAAAAGGGTCCCCCTGTACTGAATTGATCTGTTACCTACTTTTAAGGCTCTGTTACTACAAAAAAGTAATCTGATTAAATGAACATCTTAAGGGGCTAAACTGGTTAAGAGGATTGAGTAAAACATCCCAATCTAATGATCTGATGCTTTCTTGCATTCATTTTACTGGATTCAAACAGTGTCATTCTGCTGAGGAAAAAAAAAAAAAAAAAAAAAAAAAAAATGGAGATTTGTTGTTCTTTTCCTTGTCCATGATAATAAACATCTGCTTTGATTGTCTTATTTTAAAAGCTTATAATAGACATATATTTTATACATTATACTCATAAAGGCCTTATGTTGACAGAGCTTTGGTTTATATATTGACATTTCTGAAATACATACACGCACAAAAACTTTGATCAAGAAATAAAAGAATTAATTTTGGTTACATGTCCAACTACTGAATTAGTTGCTCATTATTAAATCACTTTGCCAAGTGTTACACTTTCAGCATTGTTATATTACTTAGATGGCTAAATTATATATATTAAATAGCTATACATATTTAGAATATATATGTATACATTCTAAATATGTATAGCTATTTAATGCTAAGACTAGTTTAAAACCAGTACAATGAAATAATTGAGTTTATCACTTGTTTTCAATACCGATTTATTTACAATATTACTGCCTCAGTTATACTTTATTTGAACTTGTTACTGATCGTACTAAAGAGTGGCCTTGTACAAAACTTGTACTCTTATATCTAAATTGACACTGAATCTTGTATCACACTGTATATACTAATCTGTATTTCATCCTTAATACTGCTGTAATTTTACATTCTATACATTTTGAGCTGTGTGATAAGTAAAGTGGTAGGAGTACAATGTCAGAAGTGTAAGTCATAGTAACCTTACTATAAAAATGTTTTGTACTTGGCTTTTATTCAGTACTAATGTAGAGTGAGTAGCTATGGTTAAATGTAAAATAAATGAATGGCAGAAGTGCCAAACAGATTTGAGAAAGCTTACAATAAATA